TGATTCCGCATCTCCCCAATCAGATTAATAAATTCCACTGCATCCTGATAATAGAATGAAACCAAAAAATTCCCAAGTATTTACATTCTGCTTTCTTGGGATCCTTTGATTCTCATTGCCTAACAAGGAAGAAAGACCATTTCAGTAGTTCAGGGCTGAAATGCATGGGGCTCAATCACACACATGGTGGAAACAGGTAAGTGGATCTGCTTGTCCAGTCAATGGAATGCAAATTAAGATCCATACGCTGGTGTTTTTTTCACTGGAGTTAAAGGAGGCAGATAAGGTTTTTTCCTTCCTCTATTTCTTCTTGCACTTTGTCACTGGATGTGGCTATTTCAGCTTGCGCCGAGAAGACTGCACAGATGAACGTCAGAATAGTGCCACCAATAGCTGTGTAGAAAGCCCAGCCCAAGGAGCAGTCTCCTAGTTTGTAAGCAGAAGCATAAGGTCCACAATAGCTTATTGCTTTCTGGCATCCCTGACCTGCAGGGTAAAGTGTCAAGCCGAAGATAAGGAAGAGGCCTAGAAATAAAAACAAAAATAAAAGAGAAGTTTAACAAATGATCAGTTTAACACCAAACACAGCACATGTAGTAATGGTTATCATGGTGACTACTCACTCATAAGTACCAGGATTGGGAGAAGATGACTCTTTCCCATCCATCCTTCCTTTACTGATTGTTCCCTAGTATATACCGTGCAGTGTATACATGGATGCAGAGGGAAGGGAAGGAAAAATGCCTGCGTGGAAAGAATAAGGTAAGATATAGCAGGGGTAGCAAGGGCAGGAGAGGTTACGATGCTGCTTGGAAAAGCAAGGTCTGCTTTTAAACAGGCAAAATGATTAAATGTGATACAAATAGCTCAGTAGTCTATGCTCTTCCACCTTTGACCTAAGGAGCACTGCACAAACATTTTACACAACACGAAAAAGCCAAAGGGCTGTTTCTACGGCTAACGCTGTAACCTTGACATCTCTGCTTCTTTGACAGAAGTTTATGCTTAATTGCCTTTCTGTAGTCACTGCTCAGTCCCTGGGGCTTGCCTGCCTGCAGCACTCTCATTTTGGTGATTTATTTGCATTACTGCAGAGCCCGGCAGCTCTGCTCACAGTTTCTACCTCCAGTAGCTGACAACCTACTTTTCAGATGAGACACACAGAGTGCAAGGCCGAAGCAAGATAAACCCAACCAGCACACTGGCAATAGTTTCATCACATCCATAGCCCAACAATTACCAAGAAGTTTGTCTTTTAGAGCCTTTGCAACAAGACAAGAAAAATGTCTATATTGGGTTTGCGTGGCAAGGTTTTGGTAGCGGGGGGGGCTTCTGTGAGAAGATGCCAGAAGCTTATCCCATGTCCAATAGAGCAAATGCCAGCCAGCTCTAAGACTGACCTGCTGCTGGTCATGGCTGAGCCAATCAGGGATGATTGTAGCACCTCTGTGATAACATCTTTAAGAAGGGGAAAACACTGTTGTGCAACAGCAACCAGAAAGAGAGGAGTGAGAATACGTGAGAAAAACAACCCTGCAGACACCAAGGTCAGTGAAGAAGGAGGAGGTGCTCCAGGTGCCAGAGCAGAGATTCCCCTGCAGCTTGTGGTGAAGATCATGGTGAAGTAGGTTGTCCCCCTGCAGCCCATGGAGGTCCACGGTGGAGCAGATATCGACCCTGCAGCCTGCAGAGGACCACACGCCAGAGCAGGTGGATGCACCCAAAGGAGGCTGTGACCCTGTGGAGAGCCCGTGCTGGAGCAGGCTCCTGGCAGGACCTGTGACCCGGTGGGGGACCCACGCTGGAGCAGTCCGTTCCTGAAGGACTGCACCCCATGGAAAGGACAAGTGAAAAGGACCCACACTGGAGCAGTTTGGGAAAAACTGCAGCTCGTCGGAAGGACCCACAGTGGAGAAATTCTTGTAGGACTGTCTCCCGTGGGAGCAGGGGAAGAGAGTGACGAGGAAGGAGCAGCAGAGACGACGTGTGATGAACTGACCCCATCCCCCCATTTCCCGTGCCCCTGCGCCGCTTGGGGGAGGAGGTAGAGAAAATTGGGAGTGAAGTTGAGCCCGGGAAGAAGGGAGGGGTGGGGGGAAGGTGTTTTAAGATTGGGTTTTATTTCTCATTACCCTACTATGATTTGATTGGTAATAAATTAAATTAATTTCCCCAAGTTGAGTCTGTTTTGCCTGTGATGGTAATTGGTGAGTGATCACTCCCTGTCCTTATCTTGACTCACAAGCCTTTCATCATATTTTTGTTCCCCTGTCCAGCTGAGAAAGGGGAGTGATAAAGCGACTTGGTGGGCACCTGGCATCCAGTCAAGGTCAACCCACCACAATGCCAAAGGAATAGAAATGGATTTTCAGTTGCTTGTGGACAGCACAAAGCCGCATGGGGGTGCGTGGTTTTGTTTTCTGAAGAGTCCCTGGGGGGGAATGGTGGAGGAGGGCGCTGGATGAGCTGCACAGAGCCAGGAGCAAAGTATCCTGCTAATAAATGAAAGATGTCAGAGAGCATGGCCTGGAGCTTGCAAGGGGCTGGAAAGGGGAGCCAAGCGCCTTATGCTTGGCATTCATTTATACTCACAGTGCACAGGAATGCAAGACCAGCTCCTAGCACAATCTACTGATTTGTGTATAAAAGTTGCTTGCTGGATCAATTAACTATTATAACTCTCAAGTTTCTTGAATTCGACTCATTCTTACACTTGACTTATTCAAATATTACTTCTGTACTTAATCTGCATTGTGCTACTCTCTAAGCCATTTAATGCTGTAAGTTAAGATTAAAGCAGCACTTAAGATTTTGTTAGTTGTAGAAGTACAAAGCTCAGTTTTGTGTTGTATAATTTTATGTCAGCATAATCTGATGAAGCAACAATTATCTCCTGTCAACAGTTTGCCTTGAGACAGATCTGGCAGGAGGACAGTAAGTATTAATGATACAGATTTCTTTATCTTAATAAATCAGTTTTTGCTCTTGTCCCAGTGTATTTGATTGAACATAAGCCAAGAGAAAGAACAGAGAACAAAAATCTGGTGCTCTGTCTGAAGAAAAGTTCTCTGTAGGGAATCCTTCCAGTTCCTTGTGCTAACGTACAGTAAATGAGAGTTTTAATTCACAGCCAATCTACCTGTGAATTAATTACTGTTTGTTCCACCTGCTGGGAAGAACAAATTCATTTTGAAAACATTACAGGCTGTTTTCCACTGTGCTCCTCTACAGGCTCGCAGAGCTCAGGCTTCCTCTGTTCTACATTTAACCCCCTCTCTGAGCACAACTGCACTGCTGGGGGTGTGTAGCTTCAGCTGTATGCATACTCTTGTTCCTACTTCTTAATTAGCTCTATCCCACTTCTTTAAAACAGTATGATAATTTTTCATAATTACATTTTCCTTCTTGTTAGTTGTTGCCAGCTCTCAGTTACCTTTTCTTTTAGGATTCCTTAAAACAGAGGTCTGAAAGACTGCTACACAATGCCACCAGATGCCTAGGAACGACAACAGAACGCTATTTAAATGACTTTTTTTATCCAGAGACCTCATCTAAAATTCTTTGGTATAAATCTGTCAGCAGAGGACATTTTCCCATGTTTCACTGAAGGCAATTTGCCCACATAAGGTTTTATTATCAATCCCTAATTACCTGCTTTCAAAGAGAAATAAAAAATTTAGGCGAGGTTTAATTTCATTTGGATTATTAGACTAAAATTATTAATTAGACTTCCCGATTAAAATATAGACAACCTATTAAACATCAGCCCTTCTATATTCAAATGATGTAAAAGCAACTCCTTTCTCCTAAAGCACCAAAGCAAAACAACCAAAAACTTTTCCCCTTCTAAGGGCCTGGAACTGCAGGAAGCAATTGCTCCTCCTCATTTTTATACACGCCAGTAGTGCTGCTAGGCTAACATCATGGGAAACCAACAGACTGATCTATTGTTATGGTCATTTGTATGTCACATTATCGGCTGATCAGCGCTGGGGTCAGATGTGAGTAAAAGCTTTTTCATTCCATCCTTGGAAACAACCCTTGAGACGGGTTAGGCAGATGCTTGTTTAGCTAAGTGAAGGCATGCTATTTAGTTTTGACAGTCTCCTGGGCAGCTGTTGTGCCATATTAAACAGCAGCGTATACTAACAAAGCCAATTTCCATTGCAAAGCCTGAAACTATCTTCTCATTTCCTAGCAAAATAGCAAAAAAGCTTTTAAATGCTGCTGAAGAAAGAAGAAATTAAGCAGCTGTGATCAATGAGGTGGCAATGCAACAGGCTCCCATGGTGCAGCACAAGGGAGCAACAACATTTTAAGAGAGGAAGAGAAAAAAGGGTAAAGGCAGGGAGGGATTAGCCTTGCCCAATACCACACAGGCAGCGCAGACAGTTTGCTTCCTCAGTGGCAGCAATCTTGATCATTCTCATCTTCTGCACAACCACAAGAGATTAACGCTTCAGCCCAAGGGCATTACACCAGCCAGGCAAAATAAACTTGCCTTTATTGCTCATATTTCCAAATGTGTCAATATGCTACCTAAATAATTTCATGCTTAAAATATTTGTACAAATGCACTATGCTAGCTTAACCCAAGCAGGCTTTCACATATGCAAACTTACCCTGACAAACCCCTACTCCGCAGGAATACCCCCAGGTCACCATTCATGCGATTTTGACTGCTTCACCCACTGACAGACAACCAAAGCAACACCCTCCTACTCAGCAGCTGTATAACAGATGCCTTCAGCCCTGTGAAATGATTCAGTAATCCCATTTTAATCAGATCAGAGCTAACGAGGCAGGCTCAGGCCGGCTGACATGGTGGTCACAGTTCTCCACGCTGGCTATAGGAAAAGGGGTGAGGGTAGTGCCAAGGTGCTGAAGGGAGCGCCGGTTATGGTACCCACAATGTGGTGCCCAAGACCTGCCTCTGCTGCTCTTCATCCACCTGGATGACTGTAGGCCCCACCAAACACAAGCAGCTGACCAGAGGCAAGAAGGCCTTTGCACAAAAAGAAAGGGGAGATTCTGCAAGGCCGAGCGCCTTGGAGAGCACCTCTGGCCTGCTTGGCAATGCTGCAAAACAAACAGAAGAAAAATTCCTAACAATAAGAAGATCAATGCTTAAAAAAGCCTACATGGACACTGCACTCAATGCAGGTTCACACAAGCAGAGGGGATTTGGGATAAGTTGGAAGCATGGCTGTTGATGTTGGGAAGGGATGCTCGTGGGCAATGCACCAAGGCAAGGTCCATACCTCCACACCTGCAGTCACTGCAGAGGACCACAGCCATATGCAGATTTCAATGTAACTGGGATACTCTAAGCTGAGGTAGGAGAATGAATTGTTTAAAATTACAACCAGATGATCTCTCAAAACCTGCACAGATTTTTTTTTCCCTTTAAAATTGTCTTAGGGTCATATAAAGGGAAGCAGTTACCATAAGAGGTTATCACTGCCTACCCCAAGCTGGGGAAGAAGATAAAAACCCTACTCTTTTTAACAGTAAATTAACTATGC